CCTGACCATGAAGAGCTTTATAGGTGAGGAGGAGGATATATTCTATTCTAAATTTTACAGGGAGCCAGTGCAGAGAAGCTAGTACAGGAGAGATATCATCTCTTTTCCTAGTTCCTGTCAGTACTCTTATTAGGGCAACCTGATAATAAAGAGTTGCAGTAATACAGCCTAGAAGTAACAAATGCATGGATTAGTTTTTCTGCATCTGTCTGTGATGGATGTGTCTGATTTTTGTAATATTACGTAAATGAAAAGAAGCAGTCCTAGAGATTTGCTTTATATGGGAATTAAATGACAAGTCCTGATCAAAGATAACTCCAAGATTCCTAACAGTGGTGCTAGGGCCAAAGTAATGCCATCTAGACTAGCTATATCTTTAGACAGTGATTATCTGAGGTATTTTGGGGCCAAGTATAAGAATTTTGTTTTAGTAGATAGTTTAACATCAGAAAATTGCAGCTCATCCAGGATTTTATGTCCTTAAGACATGTTTGTAATTTAGATAATGATTAATTTCATCGGGCTTGATCGATAGAAATAACTGCGTTCATCTGCATAGCAATGGAAGTTAATGGAGTGATTCCTAATAATGTTGCCTAAAGGGAGCATATGTAAAGTAAATAGTATTGGTCCAAGTACAAAACCTTTGTACTTGGACCACAGACCTTGTGGAACTCCATGACTAACTGTAGTATTTATTAAGATTCATCGTTAACATGTACAAACTGTGAACAATCTGATAAATAGAACCTAAACCAGCTCAGTGGGTTCCTTTAATGCAAATTTGATGCTCAAGTCTCTGTAAAAGAATATTATGGTCCAATGGTGTCAAATGCAGCACTAACATTACTAACATTTAACCAGAGCTGTCTCTGTGCTGTGATGAACTCTAAATCCTGACTGAAAATCCTCAAATAAATTATTGCCATGTAGAACGACGTGGGCAGGAGGACGGAGGAGAGAGGATGCAAGGAGGGACCAAACAGAGATGGTATACAGGTACAACATTAAGTCTATATTATTAAGTGTATAAACACATGTATATAGTTAAGTGTACACTGGCTTGCAATCAGAGCAGGGCAATGATTCTGATATGTTTACAGTGGTGGTTTGGGGGATGCTGCTC